GTCCGAAGGCGCCAAAACTCAAATGTGCTGAAAGTACACAGTTTTCCCGTCATTTTGATACTAAATATGCCATAGTTTCTTCGATGTTCGCTTAGCAAGAGACAGTAGAGGAAATAGTAAAAGAAAAGGTAAGGTTTATTTGTCGTTTCTATCGTATTTTTGGCTAGGATAGTTTTTTAAGTTTCTCTACTTATCCGAGAATTTGTGCTACGAACCGAAACTTCGAAGCCTTGACAAAAGCTCTCTGATATTTGTTTTCCTAATTTTGCCTTCTTTCCTTAGTTTTTTATGAGTTAATTTCTAGGATGCCGCACACAAAGAACACGCGCTTTAACTTGGCTCAATTCATGAAAGCTCGCAAGGTTGCAAGGGAGAAAGCTGTTGATGAAAATCGCAAGCTATCGGCAGAGTACAAAAAAGTCCAGCGAGCCCAAGAAAAGGTGAGATAAATTTGTCCAGTATTAATGTTTTGGGAAGATTTTTATTTTCAATATCAGAGAATATTGTAACAAAGGATTATAGGAAAGTGGTGGAGGTTCATGTGTAGGGAGGCTTGAATTTCAATTTTGACAGGGTAAAGAAATTCAAAATAATAATAATGATAATAATAATAATAATTATAATAATAATAATAATTATTATTATTATTGTAGTTTATTTTTATTATTATTATTATTATTTTAATAAGAATTATTTTTATTATGAACTGGGTAATCATGGTTTGTTTAAACCTCGCTGTACTTCTCTACACAAACACTTGTTAATATCCCCCCCCCCGCACAAGCTTTTTATGTGTTTAAACTCTAAATGACACTTAAAATTAACCAATCAGTGCTTATGAAATCACTTGTATAATAATTGCTTTCAGTTGGTCACAGTCAGGGAACACTTCAAAGACATAAAAAATGAATTAGAAAATATTCCTGTGAGTATACTCTTGATTCTTTATTGTGGTTGTTTTACCAGTACCAGTAAGTATGCAGCAAAAAACTACTGGGCGCAACCTCCAACTAAGTCTGTAGGTTTGCAGTGATTAGTGGTTGGATGAGGTTTAATTTTATGCCAAATTTTATTAATAATGTGAACAGAAAAATATTCAATTTTGTAAAAATAAAAAAAAATATTTTGCAAGTTCAATTTCGGTGAACTAACCACTTAACACAGAGCCAGTGCCAGAATGACAGCCATGGTCAGGCTTCTATGCCGGTACCTATGCAAGAAACCTGAGCGAGTGCCTGTGTTCATTTGGTTAGTAAAGACTGTCATAAATGACGGTGTCTCTAAATTATTACCACACTCTTAATTCTTTATTATGGTTGTTTTAGCAGTAAGTATGCAGCAAAAACTGCTGGGCACAACCTCCAACTAAGTCTGTAGGTTTGCATTGATTAGTGGTTGGATGATGTTTAATTTTATACCAAATTTTCTTAATAATATGAACAGAAAAATATTCAATTTTGTAAAAATAAAAATAAAAAATATTTTGCAAGTTTAATTTCGGTGAACTGGCCACTTAACACAAAGCCAGTGCCAGAATGACAGCCATGGTCAGGCTTCTATGCCGGTACCTATGCAAGAAACCTGAGCGAGTGCCTGTGTTCATTTGGTTAGTAAAGACTGTCATAAATGACGGTGTCTCTAAATTATTACCACACTCTTAATTCTTTATTATGGTTGTTTTAGCAGTAAGTATGCAGCAAAAACTGCTGGGCACAACCTCCAACTAAGTCTGTAGGTTTGCATTGATTAGTGGTTGGATGATGTTTAATTTTATACCAAATTTTCTTAATAATATGAACAGAAAAATATTCAATTTTGTAAAAATAAAAATAAAAAATATTTTGCAAGTTTAATTTCGGTGAACTGGCCACTTAACACAAAGCCAGTGCCAGAATGACAGCCATGGTCAGGCTTCTATGCCGGTACCTATGCAAGAAACCTGAGCGAGTGCCTGTGTTCATTTGGTCAGTAAAGACTGTCATAAATGACAGTGTCTAAATTGTAAACATCAACATATTGAATGTAAGATTTGGCTAAATATCTATTTTGTTATCATCCAACCACATCTAATTTAAATAATTGTGTTACTACCCAGTGTCTAATTTAGCAATATTTTAGTCACAGGGACAGGTATCCCAGGCACGAACAAGAAGCCCTACTGCACTTGTCAATGGAGAATCAACACTGGGACCAAGGACCGCAAGAAAAAGGAGGCATGAAACCATTGAAGCTGCTGCCAAAATTCATGGGAGCTCAAACGAACATTCCTCAGCCTGTTTCGAGGGAATGTTTGACACTCTGCAAAAGAGATGCAAGTTAGATAAGTTAACAAAATATGTGACAGAGAACAAGCAGTTGACCAATAGAATAGTTTGTAAAGAGTATAAGAAGAGTGTGTTAGAATTTGAAAAGTCAGATGACAACATTGTTCGAAGTATTGCAACATATTATGCAAGTGGTGTAATGGGGAAACGACAGTACAAAAGTGTAAGACTGGTGCTTTCAATGAAATCAAATGAAGGCAAACCAGGGAAAAGAACAAGTATTTCAATTTGTAAAGGCTGTAAGGTTCCAAAGCTTCTAACTTATAGTAACCTTGTAGAACAGTTAAAAACGATTGACATTGGGACTGTTCATGAAATTGACCCAGACTATCTAGAGGGCTTAGAAACTGAAAACCAAGTCAATGGTGCATATAGAGACTTGAGACAATACCTCCCAATGCTTGCCAAATTTTATCTTTCTCAGAACAGAAAAGAAAGTCTGAAAGGCTTTGCAGAATCAACAGGCACTTTTCAAATTGCTCTTGGTGGCGACGGATGCCCATTTGGCAAAAATGAGAGCGCGTGTTCTTTCTTAGTCAGTTTCCTCAATGTTGGAAGAAGGGTGGCATCAAGTTATGATAACTTTCTAATTTTTGGTGCCAACTGTGATGAAAGCTCTCCTGTTACAAAGAAATATGTGAGGTCATTATTACCTCAAATTGCAGAGTTAGAAAGAGCTAAATATGAATTTGAAGGCATGAAATATAGGTTTAAGCTGGAGGAATTGCCAAATGGCATGAAGATGCTTGCCATGTTGGCAGGTGAATTAACTATTAGTGCTAAGTATTTCTCACCCTTTGCTAATGTTTCATTAGCTGATTGTAGGGGTGTCAAGGGTACATTTGGAACTGAAAGTTCAAACAAGTGGAAACCATAGAGTTACAAGCAAAGTAAATGTTGTCAACAAGGTTGAAGCATTTAAGAAAAGAGTAGCACTACAAAAAATTTCTGAAAAGACAAAGAGATCTAAAATTACTGATTACATTGCCAAGCAAAGTAGTAGACAGGAATTTTTGCCTCTCTTAGGTTCTTACATTGACAAAGCTCATGTGGAACCCCTTCATCTAAAGAACAATGCTTGGCAGTACTTCTTTAAAGCAGTTTTGACAGAAGCTATAAGAAAATCCAAGCTGCCAGCTGATTGTAAAAAGTTTTCAGAGGTTCCAGCTGATAGCCCTTTTGCACGAGTAATTACAGCTTTACAAACAGAAGTAAAAGCCAGGCGCCTTGCAAACAAGACCAAACAATGGTTTAATGAAACTCAAGGGTCTGGAGCTGATTTGCATTATACATTTACCGGAAAAGATTCCCGCTGTTTTTGTCATAACTTCATGAGACTAATCAAGTGGCTAAGGTGTGAAAAAGACTCCAGGAAAGAACGTCAAACAGTTCTTGCTTTAGCTTATTTAGGTGTGAGGCTAAGGGACTGTGTTTCTCTCTGTAGTAGATTTGAGATAACATCAGACCACATTGATCAGCTTTCTATTGCCTGTCATGAGTATTTTAAAGTAAATTCATTGTTGTTGCAAAGTTCTGTAAATCCTACTGTCTGGACATTGGGTCACATTGTCCCGGCTCATTGTCGTCAAGTGCTTGAAAAGTATGGCCAGGGGTTGGGGTTGGTAACCATGGAAGGACGAGAAGCGAAGCATATTTTTCTTAAAAAATTAGGTGAAAATACAACATATCAAAACAGATGGGTTGAAATATTTAGACATGAATATGTGATGCTGATTTGGCTACCTCAGCAAGGTTTTCAGCAGCCAGAAGCTGCATGCAAAAATGTAGCCTACATCCCAGAGAGGGTATTCAATGATCCATCTTATTGCTATTGTGGTCTGTTAAAGGCATGTCCTGAGGATGCTAAGTGCTGTGTCTGTGGAGACCCAATCATGAAATTTATTGAGCAAAGTGTAAAGGACGGAAGGATTGCTCCACAGCTTTTGTAATTAACGTTAAATCTGTACACAGTTGGACTCAAAAACACTGCTGACTTGAGATTATATATTATATTACATTACATAGTTCATATCATACCATACAATATAATATATTATATCATATCATATTATATTAAATTATATTACATTAGCAGCAGTAAGGAACTTTAAGATAGTGTTAGAATATAAAATCCAGTTTGATCACCCTCCTGTTGTGTGGTTTTGTTTACAATTGGTCCTAACATAAGGAATCAAACATGTTGGGACTCAATATCAAACCGCTCGGCATTCAAACATTGTTGCTAATACTGATAAAGTATGTCTATGGCATTTTGATAGGATTCATTGGCAACTGCGAAGAGTGGAGGACAATTAACAACAACAACAATTTATTGGCATATACTGTAGATGTCATTACCTACAAATTATATAAGAATTATAACTGCAATGGGCCATTCCATTTTATATCAGCCCCCCCGCCTATTGAGGGTCAAGGAAATCCTAGGGGGAGGGAGGGGGCCTTTAGCAGTAATTTCTGAAGGAGTAGCCATGTTGGTAACTTTGATCTTTTTGTTTTTTCTGAAGGGGGGTATGTGTCAGCACCATGATCTTTAAAATCAGAGGGGGTCCTCAACTGTTATTTCCGAGGGAGTAGAGACCAAAACCCCTCAATAGGGAGGGTGGGGGGGGGGTGCAGATATTAAAAGGAATGGCCCAATAACTAAACTATATATATATAAAAGGCAAGGCAAGTAACTACAAATCGGCTGAGTGCATAATGTTAGGACAACTTATAATTACAAACAGCCTGACATATACTCCACTCAGTCTATTCCGCATTACTTATATGCTTACGAAAACGTGTAGCCAAATTCATTAGTGAATTTGTAGTGGGCTTTCACCACCACTTGCTGTGTCCTCTTAATAAATGTGATGGTGAAAGGAGTTTCAGAAGTTATGGAAACTTTTGAAGTTCCTTTTCTTGTTCCTTTACTCTGCTTAATAAGGATTTCTCGGACTGAGTCTCTGCTTAGCTCAGATAACTGGGCAAAATCTCGAATCAGTCTGTTCTCTCTGTTATAGTAGATTATATCTGTGTGTTTTTCTTCGTTGTGCACAACACCATAAGCGGAACGGGCCTTTTTAACCATCTTTAAAATTAAGGAAAATATTTCCGAGGACATCGCCCTTTTAAACTCTACAGTCCAAGCGCTTCGGGCCTTCATTCTTGGACTGAGGCGCCTATGGAGCATCTTAAGCCACATCTTCACTTCTCCTTCCAGGAGTGCTGTCGCTGGAATTTTTGACATTTTAGCTCGTTTCAAAGAGCTTTGGCCCACACGGTTTTTTTCAAAAATTGAAGTGAGAGCTGTTTTTACTTCTTCTTATCGACTTAAAATTATCGACTTCATCACGTAAAGGACGAAGAGCCACAATAGCATTCAAAATGCTATTTTCAGCCGCCATTTTGAAAACTGCTTGGTAGGTACTTTAAGTAGGGTTATTAAAGTGTATCAAGAAATGTATCAAAATAGCCATGTATACCCATGTATAGCCATGTATACCTATGTAATGCCATGTATTGCCATGTATTGCCATGTATTACCATGTATCACCATGTATTACCATGTATAGCCATGTATAGCCATGTATAGCCATGTATTGCCATATATAGCCATGTATTACCATGTATCACCATGTATTGCCATGTATACCCATGTATAGCCATGTGTACCTATGTATAGCCATATATACCCATGTATAGCCATGTATTGCCATGTATAGCCATGTATTGCCATGTATACCCATGTATAGCCATGTATTACCATGTATTACCATGTATAGCCATGTATAGCCATGTATAGCCATGTATAGCCATGTATTGCCATGTATTACCATGTATTGCCATGTATTACCATGTATCACCATGTATTACCATGTATTACCATGTATCACCATGTATTACCATGTATAGCCATGTATAGCCATGTATAACCATGTATTACCATGTATAGCCATGTATAGCCATGTATTACCATGTATATGTATTGCCATGTATACCCATACCATGTATAGCCATACCCATGTATTGCCATGTGTATCACCATGTATTACCATGTATAGCCATGTATAGCCATGTATTGCCATGTATAGCCATGTATTACCATGTATTACCATGTATAGCAATGTATAGCCATGTATAGCCATGTATAGCCATGTATTGCCATGTATTACCATGTATGTATCACCATGTATTACATGTATAGCCATGTATACCATATGTATATTACATGTATACCCATGTATATACCCATGTATAGCCATGTATTGCCATGTATTACCATGTATTGCCATGTATTACCATGTATCACCATGTATTACCATGTATAGCAATGTATAGCCATGTATAGCCATGTATTACCATGTATCACCATGTATTACCATGTATAGCAATGTATAGCCATGTATTACCATATATCACCGTGTATTGCCATGTATACCCATGTACAGCCATACATGCCTATGTATAGCCATGTATACCCATGTATAGCCATGTATTGCCATGTATTACCATGTATTGCCATGTATTACCATGTATCACCATGTATTACCCTGTATAGCCATGTATAGCCATGTATAGCCATGTATTACCATGTATCACCATGTATTACCATGTATAGCAATGTATAGCCATGTATAGCCATGTAATGTCATGTATAGCCATGTATAGCCATTTATAGCCATGTATTACCATGTATCACCATGTATTACCATGTATAGCCATGTATAGCCATGTAATGTCATGTATAGCCATGTATTACCATGTATCACCATGTATTACCATGTATCACCATGTATTGCCATGTATACCCATATATAGCCATGTATAGCCATGTATACCCATGTATAGCCATGTATTGCCATGTATTGCCATGTATTACCATGTATCACCATGTATTACCATGTATAGCCATGTATAGCCATGTATAGCCATGTATTACCATGTATCACCATGTATTACCATGTATAGCAATGTATAGCCATGTATAGCCATGTATAGCCATGTAATGTCATGTATAGCCATGTATTACCATGTATCACCATGTATTGCCATGTATACCCATGTATAGCCATGTATACCTATGTATAGCCATATATACCCATGTATAGCCATGTATTGCCATGTATAGCCATGTATTGCCATGTATACCCATGTATAGCCATGTATTACCATGTACAGCCATGTATTACCATGTATAGCCATGTATAGCCATGTATTACCATTTATCACCATGTATTGTCATGTATTACCATGTATTATTATGTATCACCATGTATTACCATGTATAGCCAGGTATAGCCATGTATAGCCATTTATAGCCATGTATTACCATGTATCACCATGTATTACCATGTATAGCAATGTATAGACATGTATAGCCATGTATAGCCATGTATTACCATGTATCACCATGTATTACCATGTATAGCCATGTATAGCCATGTAATGTCATGTATAGCCATGTATTACCATGTATCACCATGTATTGCCATGTATACCCATGTATAGCTATGTATAGCCATGTATTGCCATGTATACCCATGTATAGCCATGTATACCCATGTATAGCCATGTATTGCCATGTATTACCATGTATTGCCATGTATGACCATGTATCACCATGTATTACCATGTATAGCCATGTATAGCCATGTATAGCCATGTATAGCCATGTATTACCATGTATCACCATGTATTACCATGTATAGCAATGTATAGCCATGTATAGCCATGTATAGCCATGTAATGTCATGTATAGCCATGTATTACCATGTATCGCCATGTATTGCCATGTATACCCATGTATAGCCATGTATAGCCATGTATAGCCATGTATTGCCATGTATTACCATGTATTGCCATGTATTACCATGTATCACCATGTATTACCATGTATAGCCATGTATAGCCATGTATAGCCATGTATTACCATGTATCACCATGTATTACCATGTATAGCAATGTATAGCCATGTATAGCCATGTAATGTCATGTATAGCCATGTATAGCCATTTATAGCCATGTATTACCATGTATCACCATGTATTACCATGTATAGCCATGTAATGTCATGT